GGGTGGGTGGGTGGATGGGTAGGTGGGAGAATGGATGGGCAGCCGAGTGGCTGGATGGACAGATGGATCCAGGATGGTAGAGTCAGTGGGCGGGTAGGTAGGGAGACGGAGAAAGGTGACAGTGGGATTGTGGGTGTGCTAATGGACAGACAGGTAAGTGGGGGTGTGGCAGGAGTGGGTGGGCAATGGATGAATGGGGAATGGCTGAGTGGCCAGGTGTGTAGCAAGAGTACCCAGGCTGTGACCTCCAGGCCACTGCCCTCCACATCTTCAGGGCCCAGCTGGAGTGGTACAGACGCGGAACAGGCAGAGGGACATTAATGGATCCGCTTCTGCTCCCACTGCCCATGGTTGAAACCCTGTCATCCTGGTGCCACCACACAGGCCCCTGGGGGAAGCAGCCTCACCTTCTCCAAGTAGTTGAACTCCATCGCGATCTCCCGGAAGAAGAAATAAACGTGGCTGCGCCACTGTACCGCATGGACAAAGTAGGGCTCTGTGGGAGAGGAGGAGCCGGAAGCAGCCCTGTCACACAGGTGCCTGGGGCAGGGCAGCTGCTTCTTCTTCTTTTTTTTTTTTTTGGTACCAGGGATCGAACTTGGGTCCTTGCACTTCTTGCAAGGCAGGCGGCAGAACTACTGAGCTAAATCCCCAGCCCAGGGAGGCCACCCTGGGGAAATGAACTGGGCTCAAAGTTGTTTTTGGTTTTGGTTTTGTGAGGGAGAAGGGAGTTCAGCAGTCCAAAGCCACTGAGTCCAACTCCCCTCCAAATGGCAAATTTGCTATTTTTTGTCCCCTCCCTCCCTCATGTGTTGGAGAGCTGAGCTCCTGCCTTACTCGTCCTGGGCTTCCATTTTGGGCTCCTAAGCCACCCACTTCCCACAGGTTCTACTTTAGATCCAAATCTTTCCATTCGCTTTGTCTTCCAAGAGGCCAAGAGAGGCTGGGAATGCGGCTCAGTGGTGAGCACTTGTCTAGCATGCACGAGAGTCTGGCTTCCATCCCCAGCACCACAAAAACAAAAAACAAACAGGGCCAGGGATTTAGCTTAGTGGCACCATGCCTGCCTTGCAAGCATAAGGTCCTGAGTTCAATCCCTGGTACCAAAACAGACAGACAAACCAACCAACCAATAGATCCCAAAGATGAAATGGGAATCCCTTCCTCAGCTCCCTGGGTCTCTTATTCTGCTAGGGAGATTCGACGCATGTCAGCTCTCCTAAATCTAGGCTCACTGCCCTTCTAGGCCTCACCTTTGTTTTTTATTGTTGTTTAGCTTATTTAGATGTCTGTGAAACAGACATCTAAATGCTTCTTGGGCATTGGTGCATAGACATATCTCGTCTTGGTCATTTTTAGGGTCCCTTCCTCCGGGTCCTACCTTTGAACCACTTGGAGTCGTGTTTCACAGTGCGCAGGGTGGGGCGGTCCCCAAGGCTGCGGTAGATGACAGCGTCAATGGCCAGGAAGTCGGTCACGGTGGCCGTGAAGAGCATCCCGTCTGGACCAGGGCAGGACGGGGAGGCAGGCGAGAGATGAGACATTAGGGCCCGATCCGGTGGGTCAGAGGTCAGGGACCTTGTCTCCAGGCGGAGCTCCGACATCATCTTATTCCCAAACCAGCGAGGCCTGGATCCCACCTGAGCCCTTGAGCCCTCGTGGAGCCTGTGACCCGAACTGGGGCTCTGCCCAGCCACCTGCTAGGTGACCTCGCTTTAAAGGGTGGGAAGCGCCAGACTGGGCTTGGGCTCCGGCTCATCAGGAGGTGAGGGGCTCGGACACTCACCTGAGAAAAGGGCGACATTGGCGTGCTTGGGGTCGTAGGGGCAGCGGGCCATGCCACTGATGTTGTCCCCGACAGGCTGCAGCGTGTCCATCTGCAGGGAGGACAGCCTGAGTGACACATCTGGCAGCCTTGGCCTCCAAGAGGAAGCCTGGCTTCCCCCTGGATGGCTGTGCGACCCTGGCCAGTGACCTAACCTCTCTGAGCCTCAGTACATCTCAGTTAGTCCTCTGACTGTCCTGTGGCTGAGCTGGTCCTAGTTAAAGTGGCTTGTGGTCACACAGGCTGCAGCTTCCCTGACCCCTGTTCAAGCCCTCTTTGGAAACCACTGGCCCTTTCGGAGCCAGGGTGACGGACACATTCTGGAAGGCTTCCTATAGGACCTGATGTGGGTCAGGGCCACAGCCCACAGCAGAGTGGAGGAGCCAAGGCCTGGAGGGTGGAGCCAGGGCAGGCCAGGCCTGCGGGGGCAGAGACTCACACTGTAATTGGCGCACACCGGGTTGAAGGCGTTGGAACCGCACACGAACAGCGTGGACTCATCAAGGAGCAGCAGGACCTTCACGAAGTTCCGACACTCGCCCTGGGGTGCATGAAGCGGGTGGGGAGCCGGTGTGGGCGCGGCCCAGGCTGCCTGCGGCCCTGGCCCGGGCTGTGAGGAGCCCCGCCCCCGGGCCGCACTGGGGACCAGGGTGAGGGCGTAGCCACCGCAGAGGCTGAGCTAGGGCTGCCTGGGGACACCTCTGTGACCAAAGGATGGGACAAGACAAGGAAATAATTTTGTAACAACAGAAGCAAGGTCAGGGTGGTGGGTGTAGCCAAGACCTATAATCATTTGGGGGCGTGGCTAGGATCAGGGTGTAGCCCTGGCAACAAGGGGGTCCTAGCCTGGGATGGAGGAGGAGGAGGAGGATTCCCTGTGGGCGTGGCTAGGACAGGGCGGGGCGGGGCCAGGGTCCGCGAACCTCCTGCTTGCCCTTCATCCGGCACACGTCTATGTCGCTGGGGTTAGAGCGCCAGGTCAGCTTCTGCAGGCAGAAAGCGCTGGTGAGGGGGGCGGGGTCCCCAGTAGCCCTGGGAGTCCCCTGCTGGGCAGGGCTGATTCCACCCAGCTCCCTGAGCGCCCCTGGTGGGACCCCCGGGTCCTGCCCCTCCCCTCCTACCCGTTGGTACCGCAGCTCCGTGGACGTGGGGGGCTCCAGCTCCACTCGGTACAGGTTATCCCTGCGGGAGGGCACAGTGAGACTGAGGGGTCTCCATCCCGCCCCGATCCCATCCTCCCCACTGCGAAGCTGCCTCTGTCTTCGCGCCACACGGGACGCATTCCTGGGAACCCCACCGACACGCAGCCCTGGGACATTATCCTGCGTCTCTGAGACCCTCCCCTCTGTGGACAACCCGACGCGGCTCCCAGGCCCATCTCCACGCCCGGGCTCCCCTCGGGCCAGTCTTGGGCTCCAGCCGCCCCGGACATCCTGTGTCTCTACGATTCGTGGGGACTCACTCAGGATGGCCAAACTGTGCCCGATCTGCCCCCCAAACCTGCACCCCAAGACCCCCCCTCAGCTAAAGGCAGGTTCACCCTTTGGGGGACTCAGTCCGTGAGAAGCCCCACTGCCTTCCTCTCCCCTTCCGCACTCAGCACATCAGCTAGTGTTGTTGGCTCTGCCGCAGTCTGTCCCCAGTCTGCCTGATTCTCAGCCCTGCACGGCCTCCACCTGGCCCGACCTCTAGTTCTCAGCATGGACCAGTGCAGGCCCGGGTCCTGGTCCCCAGCCTGTCCTCCCTGCAGTAGCCACCAGAGGGCGCTGTGAGCACGGAGTCAGCCTTCCCTCTGCCCTCAGCCCACCAGGGCTCCTACTTCCCTGGGGCTAAGCCCAAGTTCTCCCTCCAGTCCACACTACCCTGCACGGCCGCCTGTCCCCTCCCTGCCTCACTCTCTGTCCCTTGCTCCCTCTGCTCCAGCCACATGCCCTCCTTGCTGCTCCTACACCGAGCTGGGCTCTGTGCTGCCTCAGGGCCTTTGCACAGGCGGTGCCCAGTGCCTGGAAAGAAATTCTTCTCCAGATTTTCCCATGGCTGAAACACTGTTTAGCTCTCAATCCAAATGCCATCCCCCCAGAGAAGCCCTTCCGACCGCCCCCTCCCCCATAGCACCTTTCACAGGTTCACAAGGTCACATTCCCGTGTGTGACCATCTCAGGACTGGCTGGGCCACTCCAGCAGAGCGCCCCTAGCACACCCAATAGGCACTCTATGCACCAAAGCCAGCTCCAGGCTCCAAGCACCGAGCGTTCAGCACCCTGAAAAATCCGCGCCCAGCACTCCAGAGCACAAGTCGGTCCCAGAGCAGCAGCAGCAGCGCCAGGTCTCACGTCGCCCGCCCGTCTCCCCAGACCCGCGCACCTGTCCCCGATGAACAGAGTCCTGTTGACCCGAAGCACGCGCTGGATGTTGAGGTCCTCAGTGGGCTCCGCGGGGCCCGGGCGCCCGGGTCCACCGCCCACGAACACGGGGTAGAATTTCAGGTCTGGGGAGAGGAGGTGGCGGTGAGCCAAGTGCTGGGAGGCAGCGGGGTGGCCCGGCTAGGGGAGCCCCTCCCGGGGACCAGCAGGCCCGTCCTCGTACCGACCTCCCCCAGGGTCCCCCTACTCACAGTCCCTGGGGGCCACGCTGAGCGGCGGCGGTTCTTCAGGGAAAAGGCCGTGGGTGCCCCCCAGGAGCAGCAGGAGCAGCAGGGCCGCGCAGGGAGGGGTCGCTCCCGCGGTCCGCATGGCGAGGGCCCGGTGGCAGGCGATGACAACTGCAGACGAGGGAGGGGCGGTGAGCAGGGCTGTCTGCAGTTCCTGACGCTACCGGCAGAGGGCGCGCGCTCACATCACCTGCTCTTCATTCCCAGACTCACCCTCCACCCCCCCCCACTCCCCGCCCAGCTGGGATAATAATAAAAATAACCACAATAATGGAAATAATGTACTCAGGACTTGGTTCATTTTGCTTTGTTTTTTTGAGAAAGGATCTCACTCTGTAGTCCAGGCTGGCCTTGAACTCACTATGTAGCGCAGGCTGACCTTAAACTCGTGGCGATCCTCCTGCCTCAGCCTTCCCAGTGCTAGGATTTCAGGTGTGCACCCCCACGCCCGCATATTACCCAGCACTTCTTTATTAGCAGAACAACTTTATGAGCATATGCGAGTTAAGCCCAGGAAATGACTTCGAACAAAAACGCATGAAAGAAACATAATTATAATACATTCTTATATACATATATATTTTTCCAGGCCTGCAGACTGAACTTAGGGCCTGTAAGCTGAGTTGCACACCCAGCTCTTTTTTATTTTTTATTTTTTTGGTACCAGGGATCACACTCTGGACCTTGCGCTTGCGAGGCAGGCGGGGGAACCACTGAGCTAAATCCCTGGCCCCAAACACAAAATTCTTAAAGGCTCAAAAAATAAAACCAAGGACTCTCGGAATTTTATAAACAAATTAGGAATTGCAGGCATAGAGAGTCACAGACTACTCCAGCTGTCCAGGAGCCTTGGAGCCGCTGTTTGGTTGGGTGTCCTTCCTGAGTCCCGCCTTTCTGCCCCAGTTTGAATACTTCTGTGAAAGGCACCTCACTACCTCCGAGGGGGCTGCCTCTTCCTGATCCTGTTCAAGGCACTTCTGGCTGTGTGAATGGAATTCAGTATTCAGCCCCTAGAGCCCAGCCCTCCACGCCTGAGGACCCCGTTCAGGGCACCACACTCCCTACCAGAAAGGGGCTCAAACGGGTCCTGGAGGCTCCTACTGAGAATCTCTGCAGTGCTGCTGTCCTGGAAAGTCTCTGGCGAGCCCGTGCCTCGGTTTCCCCATCTGAGCAGCAGGTCACCTCCCAGCCCTGCACTGTCTGGGTGGCTCCAGAATTCCACGGCCCTGCCAGGTGAGGGCGATTCGGGAACATGGGCCCTGTAGTGCCTGCTGCCGGAGCTTTCAAGGCCAAAAAACAGGAAGGGCCTGAAGGGACCCTTGGGCCATATCACCTGACCCTGGGCTTCCTGGACTTGTGACTCAGCGGAGGCCAGGACCCCACGTGTGCTCCAGGCCCTGCTTCCTTACGAGTTTCCTTCCCGGCCCCTGCCCTGCTCTGCATCCCCTGGGGGGGGGGGTCACAGTGACTCCTGGGCCCAGGCCCACCCTGGGCCTCGCACCGTAGCCTGCACTCTGCCACTGGCCCTCTGTCCAGGCCTCTGTCCGGTGGCACCCACCTCTGCTGCTTTTCCTTGTCTTTTATTCTCCAGTACTGAGATGGAACCCAGGGCCTTTATACTAAGCAACATCCCAGCCCTTTTTTATGTTTCCAAGCTGGACTTGAAATCGAAATCTTTCTGCCTCAGCCTCCAGAGTTCTGGGATATCAGGGATGCACCCTGGTGGCCGGGTGTGTCTGGCCTGGCTCAGTGGGTTGCTTCTGCCCTTTGGCTGTTGTGAATCGTGCTGCCCAGACACAGTGGGCAAATATCTCCACTCCATAGAGCCTGTGTGGCCCCAGGAGCACCGTGATTACCTCGTCTTAAGTGTCTGTCTGCCCCAGGGACTGTGGTCCCCAAGGGCGCAGAGGTGGCCGCTATTTGTCCTCAGCTCCTCAGAGGGCCCAGCATACAGTAGGTGGTCAATAAATAATGCTTAGAAAGCAGTTGCTGTCCCAGCATTCGGGAGGCTGAGGCAGGAGAATCACCAAGAGTTAAAAAAAAAAAAGAGTTTGAGGTCAGCCTGGGCTAGAGAGACCCTGTCTCAAAAAAAACAAGCAAGCAAGCACTTGCTGTGTGCCAGGCATTGTTGTAGCACTTAAATTAACTCAATGAATGAGCTCAATTCAACCAAGATGTGGGAGCTGTTAACAGGTAGAGAAACTGAGCCACAGAGTAGCAAAGATATTGGCCCAGGTCAGGAAGCCGTGGGGTTGAGATGGGAGCTTGCTCCATGAGCTTTGCTTATTGTTTTGTTTTGGTATTTTGAGTCCAGGTCTCGCTATGTAGTACAGACTGGCCTGATACTCACTATGTAGTGCAGGGTGGTCTTGAACTCTCAGTAATCCTCCTGCCTCAGCCTCCTGAGTGCTGGGATTACCGGCATGCACCACCATGCCCACGAACAACCGAAATTTGCCTAGTGTGACAATAGTGCAGAACTGAGCCCCAAGTTTGAGGGGAGTTTGAACCACTCTGGGGCTGACACACGGTACCAAGCCTCAGTTTACCCACTGACCTGGGGTAACTGGAGGCCTCCACACCTCCCCCATCCCCAGAACCATCTGGTTCTCTCCATGAAACTCGAGGTGTCTCTCGAAGCAGCCGCCTGGCGCCCGGAAACGGCCCCACCACCTGTTGGGCCGGGCCGCCTGGCACCTGGCCACCACCTGAGCCACCACCAGAGTCCAGCTGGTGTCGCACATGGAGCCTGGGTACTGGCCCTGCAGTGGGAGGGCTCCTTCCCAGCCCTGGGGATGTGCATTTGTCTATGGGGGCCCGGGCAGGTGTCCCTCGAACTCTGCAAGAAATCTCACTGTACAACTTGCAATCAAAATACGCAGCAACGGGCCGGGATGTAGCTCAGTGGTGCCACCATTTGCCTTGCAAGCACAAGGTCCTGAGTTCGATCTCTGGTACCAAAAAAAAAAAAAACATAGTTCAAGGCCAGCCTGGACTACATAGGGAGACCCTGTCACACATACACACACATATAGTGGCTGCTGCCGCCAAGAGCCATCCAACGGAAAGGCAGCTCATAAAAACATGACGGGGTCCTCATCCACCTTATTCACCAGATCTGGCAGAAGTCTGTGCAACTTGTTTCTTCCCGAAAGTCAAAATGACCATAAAAGGGAAAAGTTTTGAGACATTGAAGCAGCCAGGACAGCAAGTAGACTTTAGTTGCCTACATCCTGGGGCCTGTCTTCGGCTGGGCCTGCATCCTACCCACACACTGGGGTCCGGCTGCTCTTCAGCATCACCACTCAGGGGAGTTGCAGATCTCATGAGAGCCTTGCCCCTCAGAAACTTGCCACACTCCTGCCTCAGCCTCCCAGAGTCCTGGGATGACAGGCATGTGCCACTGGGCTTGGTTTCTCCATCTTACTCTCCTGCAGGCCCGGGTTTCTGGGTTCTTCTTAGCTCCCAGTGGTTCATTTTGTCAACTTGTAAGTTCTCAAACAAACCACAAATAAAACAAAAACCCATGGGATTTTCACTGAAATGGGGTTGTGTGCATAGATCAGACCAAGAGCTGACATCGGAGGTCCCCACCCCACCATTCCTCCATCTTTCCCAGCTCAGGCCACTCCTAGAAATGGTTTTCAGCTTTCCTCTCCTGCCTTCCTTCCCCCCTCTTTGCCTGCTCCTGCAGCACCAGGGTCTGAGCTGCCCCAGGACCTTTGCACAGCCACACCCTCCACCTGGAATGCCCTTCTGAGAAGCCACATAATGTTGGGTATTCCAAAGCCCCCACAGAACAAGCTCCCTCCCCCTTCTCCCTGTCCTTCTCCCTAACAGGGAACAGGGACTTTCTACATAACTAAGTCTTGACCCCTCCTAGTTAATGACCTCCTGGAGCTTGTCACTCCATCCCACCAGATGTTCCCATGAGAGAGGGACTTCCTGGAGCCTGTTACTCCATCCTCCAACCAGAATTTGTTGCTCTATGCCCTCACCACAATTACCCACGCCCATCCAAGGACTGCGTGCTCTCCCACATGCAAAGACCCCCATATAAGCCTCCAGCTCAGCTCATGCTGCGGCTGGTCTCCCTTTTGTGAGTCAGTCCTGGCAGGCTGTCGACTGCCGCCCCAATAAAGCTCGCTTGAACATATGTGTGCCCCTTCCTTTCGGTGACCCTGGCACATAACTCATTCCCTTCCCTCAGGACGTTGCTGAGCGCCTCTTTGGAGACCCCCACTTCCCATCAGCCTGACACAGGAAGCCTCTGTCGTGTTGGTGACCCCCGCCCATATCACACTCCCACAGCCTTTGGATTGTTCTAACCCTCGGTGACTCTGAATATGGCTGGGAGCAGCACCTCTGGGCTCCCCCATTCCAGACCTGGCCCAGCCAAGCTGCACTTCCGCAAGATCTCGCGAGAGCTGCGCCCCATAAAGCCTGGGAACCCGAGCTTCCGGTTTGGGCCTCGCTGTAAGACACCCCGACTGGCCCTGTTCAGAGCCCTCTGCCCGCCTGGAGCCCTAGGGCGTCCTGGCCAAGCATGCGTGCCCTGGGGACAGGTGAACCCTGGGGGCTCAAGAACTGCTTCTTATCTGCCAGGTCCACAGCAGGGGCGGAAGCTGCTTGGCGTTGCCACTCGCCTTTGGGACCCTCCGGGCCTGACCCAGCGTGGCCACGCGGACCCCAGGTAGCCATCACCCCAACCCTCATCCATGGCTTTCTGACCATCGGACAGTTTTGAGGGACCCCAGGTTACAGGGGGACCAGGCTGGCCCACACTGGTCACCTGCCTCCATGCTCTACCTTTGCTGACCCACTGGAGAAACTGAGGCCCAGAGACCAGGATGGACATGTAACGCCATCATATAAAAAGCCTGGGTTTGCTGGGCGTGGTGGCGCATACCTGACATCCCAGCATTTGGGAGGCTGAGGCAGGAGGATCACTGAGTTCGAGGCCAGCCTGGGCTATATAGCAAGACCCTGTCTCAAAAAACCAAAAGAAAAAAAAAGGCTTGAGTTCAAATCCAGCTCTGCCCATTACCAGCTGTGCAACCACAGATGGGGTCATGTGGGGGGCACTGCCGGGCCAAGTAGCGTCCCCAGCC